ACCTGATGTTCGACATCAGAAGCTGAGACTTGACAGCAACCATTACAAATATTAAAAATGATGAAGGAAATTATATGCAAGAAAGTAAAGTGCAGTATAATAACAATATTCCATTAAATAGTTAATTCTATGGAGAGATTTTTAAGGAATATAATGGAAATTGGACTTATTTTTGGCCACTGGTGTACAGTTACTTTCCTAGGTAGCTAAAGCTTTTTACAAACATTTCAGGTTTTTCTTTTGCAAAAGTAAATTTATTTCAGTTTAATGTGAGGGTACATACAATCAGGTCAAAATATTTGATTTTGATAGGTGGAATCCCTCTTGTGCTTATGGCCCCCACACATGCCCAGTCATTGATAGCACTGCAAACATCTCCCCCCTCCTTTATTACCCCCCCATTTGAATTGAAATTGGTCTTTCTCCTAACTGGGCATACGTGAGATCATCTACTGGCTTTATAATAGTATTGAGTACATTGGATAATTGCATTTCCATTCTTGTGATACCTTACTAATAAAAATGTGTTTCAACTCCATCTAGGGTAGACAAGTTTCCCATGTGCTTTTTTTCCCCTTTTATTAAGTCATATACACATAGATTATGAATACATTTATGCTTTTGTGGGGTACAATGTGTTGATTTTTTTTTTTTCGTAGAGACAGAGTCTCACTTTATTGCCCTTAGTAGAGTGCCATGGCATCACACAGCTCACAGCAAACTCCAACTCCTGGGCTTTGGCAATTCTCTTGCCTCAGCCTCCCGAGTAGCTGGGACTGCAGGCATCCACAACAATGCCCAGCTATTTTTCTGTTGCAGTTTAGCCAGGGCTGGGTTTGAACCCCCCACCCTCGGTATATGGGGCCAGTGCCCTGCCCACTGACCCACAGGTGCCTCCCCAATGTGTTAATTTTTAAAATGCAATTTGGAATGGTTACATCATTAACCATTAAACTAATTAATACAGCTTTCCCCTCATTTACTTAATTATTGTATTGAGGCATTTATGTTCTATACTTTGACTTGTACCCTTACAATATGCTCTATAGGTGTGGTCCCACCGTTTACCCTCCCTCTATCAAACCTCCCTCCTCCCATCCCCCTCTACTTCTTTCCTTCATCCTGGGCTATAGTTGTGATCTATCTTTCATAAGAAAGTGTGGGTAATGGGTCGTGCTTGTGGCTCAGAGGTATAGGGTGCTGGCCCCATATACCAGAGGTGGTGGGTTCAAACCTTGCCCTGGCCAAAAACTGCAAAAAAAAAAAAAAGAAAAGAAAAGAAAAGAAGAAAGTATGAGTAATTATACATTTGTTTCATAAAAGTACTGAGTACATTGGATACTGTTTCTTCCATTCTTGAGATACTTTACTAATGAGAGTATTATCCAGCTCCATCCATGTAAACATAAAAGAGGTAAAGCCTCCATTTTTTAAGGCTGCATAGTATTCCATGGCACACATATACCACAATTTATTAATCCATTCATGGGTTGATGATCACTTGGGCTTCTTCCAAGTCCCATGTGCTTTTTGAAAGAAATCCTTCAGTGTATTAAACATTGGTATGTTCACTATATTAGAAACCTGTGCATGACAATTAAAAAGTGCATTCTATTTTTTGTATAGCATCAAAAATTCATGCTCTATCTCTCCCTCCTTGATATAGGTAGATATATAAATATAAAAGTGTCCCCAAAATAATTTTTCAGATTTATTACAAATAACATGTTCCTTTTGTGTCCACTGTAATTATAAATTGACCTTAACAAACTCACTCATGTTTTTAAAAACACGCTTTCTGAGCTTGTTACGTGTATATGTAAAAATTTTCAATGTCCTAGGAAATGGAGTCCAAGGCAACATAGACTCAGAGAAACCCTATCTCAGAAGGAGATTGTCTGAGACTATCCTCTACCTGGACCCAATCCACTTCTTTATGGAATCCGATCAAAGTCTCAAATTGGTCCCCAGATCCTGACCTCTAAAAGATGAGAGCTATGATTCCTTCTTCCAGCTCCCAGCTCTGTGCAAGGCACAGAGAAGAGGTACAATAAATGTTTAGGGAAAATGCTCCCAACACTACTCCATGTCCCTGTGACTTTCGAGTTTGACCTTCTGAGGACTCCCCAGAGCAGGTCACATGAGGGGCTCTGAAGCCTATCTCAGCCTCCCTGCTGAGTCCATGTGTCATGCACAGTTAGGATTCCAGGGCGCTCAGGGGCCCTGCAGGACAGGCAGTCTGGTGTCAGGCACAGCTGACTGCGGATCCACAGGCACCTCTCACAACTCACATACTTTATGCCTCATGTGTCATGATGCTGAGACACCCCAGGGCAGCACTGTGGGTGATCACACTGGGTCTGGGTCAGACTGGTCATCAAATAGCCTGGGTGGGCCAGTCTCCCCCAATTTCCTTGATGTCCCAGTGACAAGAGGCCATATATACAGGGTGCAGCAGACAAAATCAGATTTAATTTTAAAAATTTAAAGTTTATTGTACATAAGAGAGAACCAGAACTGGGTGGCTCCCGTGGCTCAAAGGAGTAGGATGCCTGCCCCATATACCAGAGGTGGCGGGTTCAAA